CTCTGAATGGCTGAAGAAAAACAAGATGAAGACTTTGGAGTGGCCAAGTCAAAGTCCAGACCTGAATCCTATTGAGATGCTGTGGCATGACCTTAAAAAGGTGGTTCATGCTCGAAAACCCTCCAATGTGGCTGAATTACAACAATTCTGCATAGATGCGCAAACGCATGATTGCAGTTGTTGCTGCTAAGGGTGGCCCATCCAGTTATTAGGTTTAGGGGGCAAACACTTTTTCACTCAGGGCCATATAGTTTTGGATTTTGTTTTCCCTTAATAATAAAAACCTTCATTTAAAAACTGCATGTTGTGTTCACTTGTGTTATCTTTTACTAATATTTAAATTTGCATGATGATCTGAAACATTAAAGTGTGACAAACATGCAAAAAAATAAGAAATCAGGAAGGGGGCCAACACTTTTTCACACCACTGGAAAAAACTGAATAAAATGAGATATACAATCACAGAAAGGCTGACGATGTGTGAGTTCTCATGTTCTGCTATTTGTGCATGCACTACACCCCTGAAAAAATGTGCTGTTTTTAATAGGTTACACACAGTACACTTATCTATTCTACTTTAATTTAAATCTAAATTAACATTGTAATTTTATCAGGAACATTGTCATTTTTGTTTTAATATTGTCAGGAACACTCAGCGAGGGCTCCGTAAGCTTGAGCTACAGAAGCATAGTCTGAGGTCTACTTCGACTTGGAGCGCTCAGTGTACACTCAGAGTGCCCGAACAGGGCACAATAAGCTGGGACCCAAACAAAGGCCTCCTGTAGCGAATCGATGTGTTTTTGTAAGAAAAGTTATACAATCACAGAAAGGCTGACGATGTGTGAGTTCTCATGTTCTGCTATTTGTGCATTCACTACACCCCTGAAAAAATGTGCTGTTTTTAATAGGTTACACACAGTACACTTATCTATTCTACTTTAATTTAAATCTAAATTAACATTGTAATTTTATCAGGAACATTGTCATTTTTGTTTTAATATTGTCAGGAACACTCAGCGAGGGCTCTGTAAGCTTGAGCTACAGAAGCATAGTCTGAGGTCTACTTCGACTTGGAGCGCTCAGTGTACACTCAGAGTGCCCGAACAGGGCACAATAAGCTGGGACCCAAACAAAGGCCTCCTGTAGCGAATTGATGTGTTTTTGTAAGAAAAGTATCCATATTCAAAACGTAATAATCACTTTAATGTAGCTTGTGCCAACAGTTGTACCCGGAAGCAGTTCTGGGCGGATGATGTATGAGGCCGTCGCTCAGAAGTGATGAACGCGGAAGCGCAGGGGAGAGATCAAAACAAAACAACGGTCACTTATTAGAAGTAAAAAACGAGGATTTGTAAGGAAGAATATCGGAAGATTTCGATATAAGCCAAGAGGAGACTGGTTTTCCTTTGCTAAAGTAAGGAAACTTTGCTTCCTTTTGTCCTGTTAAGAAACGTTGGTTTTCACGAGACTCACCGGCGCATGCGCAACGCTGACCGAAATGGAGGTCTTTAGACTCACATAATTCACATAGAAAATAAGCCATTAATATGCCCTCAGTGTGGAAAGAGTTTCAGATATTAAGAAAAAAACAACGGTCACTTATTAGAAGTAAAAAACGAGGATTTGTAAGGAAGAATATCGGAAGATTTCGATATAAGCCAAGAGGAGACTGGTTTTCCTTTGCTAAAGTAAGGAAACTTTGCTTCCTTTTGATCCTGTTAAGAAACGTTGATTTTCACGAGACTCACCGGCGCATGCGCAACGCTGACCGAAATGGAGGTCTTTAGACTCACATAATTCACATAGAAAATAAGCCATTAATATGCCCTCAGTGTGGAAAGAGTTTCAGATATTAAGAAAACCTTAATAAGCACATGAAGATTCTCTCGAGAGAAGAGTTTTAAATGTCATCAGTGCAAAAGGAGTTTCACAGACACAAATCACCTTCAGAATCATGTTAAAATTCACATCGGAGAAAAGCCTTTCATGTGCTATCAATGTGGAAAGAGTTTCTCAAAAGAAGGACACCTCAAGGCTCACTTGAGAATTCACACTGGAGAGAAACCTTTCACCTGCGAACAGTGTGGAAAGAGTTTCACGGTTAAAGTAAACCTTCAGATTCACAAGGTAGTTCACACTGAAGAGAAGCCTTACAAGTGTCTTCAGTGTGAGAAGAGTTTCACTTGTCAAAGCAGCATGAAACGTCATTTGAAATCTCATTCTGAGAATTTTTTTCCCCATTTTCCTCAGAATGACGAGGATTAGAAAAAGAAGCAATTTCTACAATCTGCACATTCATTCTGGAAGACATGCAGTCAGTGTAATCAAAAACATTATTTGCCATCACACTTACAGAAACATGTGAAAAGTCATGCAAATGTGAGACTCTGTTTGTGTTCTTTATTGAAGAATATGACAAGAGAAAACGCTGTGCTAAATCAAGGCTATGTTCACACCGCAGCTAAATGTGGGCTACGTCTGATTGTCACCTTCATGACTACTTCTTTTGTTTGCATCCTTCACCTGTTTATGCTTCACCATAAGGCTTTTTATTTTCTTTTGTGCATATGTACTCCTGTGGCCATACCTGATCATCTTCTTTGCTGTAGTTTCAAATATTGAGCAGTTACAGTAGATTCCCTCAAATTATGAATATGTAGAGGTGTCACTCAATTTCCTCTGAAT